TAGATGATGTACGTATATATGCCAACGTTTATGTAGCCTTGCGTTTTTAAATCAAAGATTTTTAAAAGTTATTCATATTTCCAATTATAAAAAACGTACTATAGAGAAGCATGAACTTTAATATACATACTTTGTACCAACCGATACTAACTTCTCATATTCCTTAATAACAATTAAGATTTTCCAGATTTTCGTATTCTTTAATTACTTTTTAAAATTGTTGGTAATACTCATACTACTTATACTTAATTTTATGTACACACATACCACACATACAAATGCATGTATAAGAGCAAAGTAAAATCCATTAGAAACTTCTGTTACATAATTCACGTTTTAGAGTAAAAAGCATTTTTTTAAGGAAAACGCGTTTTTCGTCTTGCTTTTTTTTTTTGTCTTTTTACAAAAGTAAAGACATCATCTTACAAGCGTGTAATTGCTTGCAATATTATGCCAATTATAAAAAATGTTGGATTATTAAACCTAATAGACTCCACTAATGTAATTGGTTTCATTTTTTTTTTGATATTGTATAACTAACTATGTAAGTATGTATACAAGTATACAGAAATTGAAAGTTTGTTGCCATTTTATTTAAGTATTTCTCGTTTTATATTTTCGTATAGTTTTCTATTTCTTTAGCGTTTTCAAAGCATAATTTGATATCATGTATAAGTCTGTTTTGAATTTTTCTTTATTATATGGATTTGCGTGTAATACTGGTTTTCCAACCAAAAAAAAATAAAATTTTATTTAAAATTTGATAAAAATTATTACTTAATAATTTTTCTTGTTAGTTACATTTTTAGTTTTTATTTTTTAATACTCTCTGCCTTCCTGTAATGGATAATCCAGAAAGAAAAGTTGAATTTTTAAAGCTGATTTGATTGGTTTTTTTTTTCAAAGAAAATTTACGTAAGGCATGTTTATAGTTTGGAGTGTATAAGATAAAAATTGGCTGTCATACATAAGTACTTACTTACAAAAAAATATGAGAAAATATTTAATACAAAAATTATATATACAGAGTCGCGTACACTACCATATTCATTTGAGAGGATAATAATTTTAGGGGAACACACTAAGCATAAATACGTGTATGTATCTTTGTACTTAAATAGCATTCTTACGGTCAATAAGTCTGTTACTTGAACTGTGATAATTTAATGAAAATTTTTGATTGAAATCGAAATCTTATTTTAATTCTTTGAAAGGGATAAATGTAAACATTTACAAGAGATATTGGCACGTAAAAATTTAAGAATCAAAATTTTATATCTTATACTGGCGTGAAATTTTAAATTGGATTCAGTTCAATGATATATGTAACAATTGGATTCAGTTTGTGTTCTGAACAATTAATCAATTTTAAACTATTAACTCTAATGTTTGTTGATCTCTTTTAAAATACAAATTCGAATATTGAAATTCAAAATCCTAAAATATTGAAATTCTTATTTGAGACATCATACTTAAATTAAGCAATTTCTTTCTTTTACAATGAACTCGAGTTACAGTTTTACAAAAAAAAAAAAAACCTGACAAAATTAACTTACATAATATTTTTATTGATAATTCTAAAAACTATTAGTTAAGAGTATTTTGGATGAAAGGCGTCTTATACATTTTTGCCATATAAAATTGCATTGCAAGAATCTTGAAATTTATATATTGCAACGTGCACATAGATTGTTCCTACTAAATCGAACTTCGACACTATTTTAAGTTTTAATTAATAATGACCTAAATCTAGTTTGATAAACAGAATAAAATCTTTAAAAAAAACCCTTAAATATCTAAACATGTAAGTACATACATATGATCAAATGAACATTAAGCTAATCACCAAAATTATCAAATATTAATTAAAATATTTCGTAAACTTATTAAATTTATTTATATATTAAATATTATGTAATTATGCAAATTGCAAAAATGAAAATTTCATAATAAAATTAAATTAAGATTAACAAAAAAAAAATAAAAAATAATTATTAAATTTTTTTTAATTACTTAATAAATTTTAATAAAATTGAACAAAAAAAAATATCAACTAGTTTTCTATACTAAAAAAAACATTTTAATATTTTTAACCATAAATTTTTCAATAAAATTATGAAAACCAGTTATTTTTAATATTTTCTTTTTTTCTAAATCAGAACTAAAAGTAATTATAATTCTTAACACGCGTCGTCAATTTTTTTAAGCTTTATAATTATGTTACATACAATCATACATAATATCTATACATTTTAAATGTTAACGCACAAAAAAAAAATTAAAGTGCGTATAAGCAACAAAGGCATAGAGGCATGTAAATTAAAAATTTCTAAACAATTTTGTATTTTTAATATTAAAAAAAAAAAATTTGAATTTTTCTCTTCTAAATTTACATATTATGTACGTGCTAAATAAATCTCCTATAACACGTTTTAATATTTTTGCAAAAAAAAAAATAAAAAACAAAAATTAATTATAAACAAAGTAGTAAATTTTAACTTAATCTATAGTAGGATAGGTACACAAAATATAGGAAAAACACAAACAAAAACATGGGGTTCCAATGTTGATCATTCAACTATTTATTATTGTGGTTATAAATAAGTGCTTACATGTTGTTATTTAAAAATTTCTCATATAAAATTGGAGGGAATACAACCATGTACTGTGCATACATACATATATATGTATGTCTAAATATATGTATTACAGACACAATATTATTTTCATTTTCATTCTATAAAAAAATTTAAATTGCAAATTTTTAATTTCTAAAAGAAAAAAATAAAATTTAATTTAAATGCATATTTTAAATTAAAAAAAAAAAATACGATTTAGAATATTTTAGAAAAAATTTGATGTGGCAGGTAAATAATCAACAACATAATCTATTTTCTGAACAATATATAATATAGATTGTAGAATAAAGGGGAAGATGCACCGTGAATAAATAGATATGTTGTACCAACCACCACGAGCACCCCCTCGAGACCAGCAATTCTGAAAAACTTTTCTGTAGGAATGTCCCACAACGGCATGCCCACCTCCTAGGGCCCGCTCAGAGGCTGGCCACCCTCTTATGAACCAACTTGTTGGTTCTGAACAATATAAGTAAATATACAAGTAAAGATCAATGAATTTGCTTTTATTAATTTAGTGTTGCACTAAAAAATTAAATGATCTAAACACTTATTTCAAATTATAAAAAAATTAGTACTAAGCTTTTTCTTTTATTACGAAAATTTTATATGCAATCTTATAGTAGAAATTAATTGGTCACACACTTAGCGAAAGTAAAATTCAACTCAGATTTCAATTGAATCTTAATAATTCAAATCGCAAAACAGACTTACATACTCATAGATCAATTCGGATAAAATATTTGCATTTTATAGGTAAAAATATTTGTCTGTTGAAAACTGGAATGTTAAATTTAGTGCTATTAACAATACTTCCCTCTTCTCTTAACGTATGCAATGCAGTTGTTAATTATGTCTGCATAATATGTGTATATAAATAAAATTGGTTGTATGCATGTACATACACATATATATCTTATGTGAATGTAAGTAATAAAAATTCTAATTATATGGTGTGGTTTTTGCGGTTAATAACAAACGTAGTGTCGATTTTTAATATCATAAAAATTATTATTCAATTTTATAAAAAGTTTTGCTTTTGAATATTATGTTTAATTTTTTTTACTTAATTAACATATTAAGTAGAAATGAAATAAATATGTAAACGATCTGTCTAGATTTATATATATGTAGGTTACATACTTTACCGTAAATAAGTATATGTATGTATGTATCTATATATCACAATATTTATACGATTTTTTGAATATTATTTAACTTTTATAGGGTAGATGAGTTGAAGATACTTAATTATTGTCCTGTTTTTCTTAAATAAATATATTTGAATATTGCTATAATGTAAGGTAAACAACCCTCTCTATTACTGCAATATTTTCAGACAAATTGAAGCTGACAATTGAATATTTCATTTAAAAAATTTGATCTTCCTTGTTTTTTATCGAAAGAGCACTTGAAATATTAAAAGAAAACTTAGGAATGAGTTAAATATTTAACTCTTAATATTGTTGGCTATATAGAAAAAATGTATGTAAGTCCCAGTAACATAGCCACTGTCATTATTAAGGACCTTTACCTTATAAAATTTTAATGTGAATGTATTGTATGTTCATTAATCTCTATGACATTTTGTAGAAATATTTTGTTATTATTTAAAATAGGTGATAACTAATGTCAGAATCAATTAAAATTTTTAAATCTCTAAATATGTAATATCAACAAAATTACAAATATTGTGTTACAAAGACACCATTGAAATTGTGTTTGATTCTACATTATAAATTGCAATCAAATTTAGATTTATAGAACATTATAATGTCATGTACATATTTAATAATTCGACATAAATAATATTAACAAATTGCTATAAAATATTTTTATTGTGATTTTAGTACGGACATAAAATAATCGGAATAGAAAATATGAATACATTAAACATATAATATGTACGCATATAATTCATGAACGGAAATAAATTTATAATTTTATTTTAATATTTTAATTAAATTTAATATGCGCATTTAATAAATATAATTATGAAAATTTTATTATATAATTTTTATGAATTTTTAATGGGTTATTAATTTTATGCTTTAAATTTCTCTTTTTTTAAATATACTTTTTTTTTAAATCAAACACGTTGGATTACTTTGTTTTGTATGCCATTATTAAATATATATTTAATTTTTAGAATATTTTATTATTAATAAAATTGAGCTTTGATTTTGTTTTTAATTAAATATAAAATTATTTTTATATTTTTCAATTTTAATCTTTGTATAAACATACTGTATGATCGAACATGTTCGATAATAAAATTATTTTCAAACTTACTGCATTATTACTTTTACCAATAAAATTTAAACACAGATTGTATATAATTGCTTAAATCAAAAAAAATACCTGCATTTCAAATTTCCATAACATTATTCTCTTAAAATTTTGAATTATAGAATAATATATTTACCTGTAAAGAAAAATAAAAGAAAAAATCATTAGTATTTATGTTTGTACTTGTATTTGATTTAATTTTAGATAATTTTTAATTAAAAATGAATTGATAATTGTTTATAGATTTGCGTTTATTTCCACGTAGTTTCTGTTTGAAGGCTTTTCTATAAATATATCATTTTGAAAAATTCATAAATAACACCCTTATGTATGAACTTAAAAATTAAGCTTCAAATACTTAATTTCTTAGTCATCATACTAATTACGGTTTACCTTTCCAATTTAAAAAAAAATATTCATAAGAACAATGTGCAGGGGTTAAAGCAAAATTATTTATTCCAGAAATATAAGGTATACAATTTATAAAGTTTTATTAAAAAAAAAACAGCAATGAAATTTTGTTATATAGTAAAAATTAAATGAAGTCTAAAAAAAAATGCAAAGAAAAATGGAAAAATAAAAACAAAATGTAAGACAATCAGCCTAACTGAAATCAATAATATGCAATGACTCCAGGTTCAAACAAGAACTTTAAGTGAAATTTTTTTTTAATAAAGTAGAGTTAAACTAAAGTCAGTTTGTAAAGTAGCACATTTTCTTTTTAATAAGACATATAGGCAACTTGTTGAAGTTGATTTGTTTTTGATAAAAGCGATTTTCCCCTCAATTTGCTTTCATTACATACTTCTAGGCGATAGTAGTAGTTTATGTACCACGATTACTTACATAATGATAGGATTTGAATTTCAATAAACCAGTTAAGAGAGAAACAATTTTCTTTTTCTAAGAGCGTGAAAACTTAAAATTTTGCTCATTTGAAAAGGAACTGTTCTGCATGGGGAGAAGATAAAAATATAAGATTTAGGTAAAAAATTTGGTTTAGAAAAGATAATTTCTAACTCTTGCTATGTATGCAAACTTTTAATTTTTATCAATCGTAAAATCTATAAATTTTCGGCACAGGCGCACGAACCGCAGCGCAGTAAGTAAACCACAGATTATCCCATCAGAATAAAATTATTAAAAACATTTTTTCCGAAAATTTTCTGAAAAACAACATAAAGCTAAACTAAGAATAATCACAACAACAAAACACAAAAATAATGAAAACTGGTTTTTAATTTTCCTCTCGAACATTATATGGCATTGCACGCATTATTCAAGTTATTTTTTTTAATTCTTATCTTATATAAAAAAATATCAATTTAGAATATTAAAAGCATAAAAGAAAATTAAAATAAAAAAAAAACAAGATTCGACGACGGCTTTTTTTGTCTTTTTCTAACCTTCTTTCAATACTGTAACAGCAGTGAGTTTTCTTGAGAGACATCAAAGAACGAAATTGAAAACCCAGACCAAAAAGAATATTTTTGCTGAAAACATTAATGCTTTCATGTGAAAGCGGAAAATTTCAACTTAAATATCATATTACAAGAGACAAGAATCAAAAGAATACCAAAGAATATAAAAAAAAGTTGAATAGCTAGTTGGTTAAAGATTTTAAAAGTGAAGTCTTCCAAGTATTTTTATATTAATTTAAGGTATTTTTATGCATACGCATACGTATGTATATATTTATGTACGTAAGTAAGTGTGTATGTATTAAATGTCAATTATAATAAAAGCTTAATTTTAAAATATTTAATTATTATTAGTTGCTAAATTGGTCACATATACGTAAGTAAGTTCATATAGTTGTACTCCGAAAACTGGTTTTGATTTTGTATTTTTAAATTGTTTATTGAAATCAGAAATCTAGATTCCAATTTTAATTGCATACTTCTACTTTGCAAATGCAATTAACGAAATAATAGATTTTTAGATAAGAATTAATTAAACTACATTTAATTTAAAAAAAACGTGCCGAAAACAGAAACACACATTCAAAATTATAATCAAATTATGATTTGAACTCTTTATAATTAATTGGTTTCAAATGTAAATAACTGAAGTTAAAATGACACAAAACATCCAGAAAATAAAGTCATACATGTATGTGCGCAAATTAGAATGAAGTGTGTCATTTTATTTCCAATATTTTTCAAAATATCATTACTATTGTGTGATTAGTGACATGTTATCTTGGAATTCAACCAAATATTGCTCGATTATATGTTTGAACAAGGCGAATCCAAATATTTAAACTTTGTGCTTGTCACTTAGGGGGTTTTGCGTTACAGAAATATGTATGAAAGTATAAAATATAACAGTTAATTTTCAAAGTTTCACTTTCTAAAACTTCTTGAAATAATTGTTACAAATCCTTATTTTTGATTTAAAATTTATTCTGCTTAATTTTAGAATGCTTAGAAAAACCAGATTAAAAGTAAATTTTTGTTATAGTAGCTTATCTAACTTGTATATACATTATTAATTTCAATTTCAATATACAACATTCTAACCATTTGATAATTGTTGACATTTGTTGATAGCCATTTAATTTAATATTAATTTTACTGCACTGTTATTCTACTAATATCGTTATATTCACGTTATATACAATTCGATATACATATATATATACCTTAACATTATACTGTATTTAACAAAACGTGATATCAACAAGCATACATATATGAACAAACAATATGATCCTACGGAATAGAACATAATGTAGACAACATAGAATAAAAGTTAGTCATCAATGGTTAATAAAATAATTTTTTGCAAAATTACAATTAATTTTATTTTTAGAAATAATTGTCACACCCCGTTTTTCAAACAAGTTATTTGCGTCCTTTGAGACTTTCGAATTTTCAAATTTAAACTTATAGTTATACTTTGTTCTTAGTCTAATTATGAAAACATATGGAGCATTTATGATAATTTAGAAACCTTCGCCGATTAAATATGTGCCTTAATAAAATACTGCTGAATTTTTTGAATAAGAAATTATAAGAATTTTTTTAAAACCTTACATTGAATAAAATATTACTCTTTATCTAGTTCTTTATAAAATCTATATAATTAATTTTTATTATTAATAAATTTCAAATTCATTAATATTTTCAAATAGATAAAGCTAAACAATAAAGTTTATAATAAAAATTTTTATGTTTATATTTTAATGTTGAATCGTAAACTTTAACATATTTCATACACATACTTGTGTAACAACATAAGAGCATAAATAAATCTCATTAACATACATGATTAAATAATATTTGAAAATTTATTTTATAATAATGACCGAGTTTTAAAATTAATTAAAGAAACATAAAATTCTTAAAATTTCCAATTAATTCTTAAAATTCAAATTCTTAAAGAATAAATGTATACTAAAAATAATAATTTAAATACAAGAATAAAAATTAAATTATTAATAAAATAACTATATGACAGCAATAATTAATAAGAAAGTTTGATATTATTCCTCAAGTTAAGTCGCTTATTAACTATAATATTATCATTTTGAATTGAAAATATTTTTCTATATTTAAGGGAATTCGTCTATGATTGCAAGATTAAGTACTTATTTACTTTCTAATAAGTTAAATAAAAAACTTGCTTTTGAACTTATATGTAGACAAAACTAAACTGAACGTTTCCTATGCAGAGACACAATAAAAAATAGTAGCCATGTGACTTAAGAATCTTGGGAAATCTCTAATGTTACATAAATGAAAAATTTACAGCTTGTTAGCTGAATTGTATATTTTATTACTACAGTTTTTAAATCAGAGCTCACCCAGAATAATATGGATCATAATATGGACAAATAGTAAATATGATTATGGCAATTTTTCAATAAATAAATTATTCGAAGAACATAACATTTAACGAAACACAAATCGAAATTACTACTGCAGTCGTACTATTTTTTCCAAATTTTTCTCCATTTTTGGATTTGATCAGTTGAATATGTATTTTATAAAAGTACACCACTTTTCTAGTTCGAACTTATTTCTAACATTTAGAACAATTCGACCTAAGGGCACTCAACTGTATATTAAAGAAAAACTTTAACAGTATATAATGTAAGAAATTTAAATGGCTATAAACACAGTAATTTTTACCGGTACATATTCGAACAATTTATTCGAAAAAAAGGTTATAAATATTAATTTAGGTTAACCAACTTATAAATTATTAAAAAAAAATTAGTTAAAATACCTAAATATAAATTATGGTTACTTGGAAAACAACAACAATAAAAGTTCATATTTTTTTTTTATAAATGAATTCAGGAAATGTTAAGTAACAATATTATTGCATACACTTATAGGTTAACAATAAAAATTTAAATATTAAAATATTTTTTGAGGCAAGTTCATATTTCATATTTAAATGCTGTTTTAAGAATTCACAAATAACTATAACGGGCCAAACAATAAAAACTTTGATAAAACTAAATTTTGAAAAGAAAATTAATTGAAAATTCAAATATGCAAAATTTGTTACTACATTGCTATAGCATTGCTGCAATTACACACATTTCAAATGCAATAATAATAAATGTGAACCAAATAGCAAAAAATTTAATATGTAAATAAATAATAAATGAATTTTAGTAAAACACTTAAATACCTGGGAGACAATGAAACAATAACAATATTTTAAAAAATAAAAGAAAAATAAATTTCAAAACTGGTTCTAAATATTTTACACAAGTTATTTATTTATTTATATTAAAAATTTAACAAGCCATAGATTAAATTATAATAAAATTTACAGTCAATTCTTGATATATTGGGAAATTTTAATAATGTTGCGGTTGTTAATACTAAAATTAATTATACTGGACGCCGTCACTGCATAAATTTTTGATGACAAACTGCAACAGAAAATCTTTGTCATCATGTACTGACTTTGTATACCAATATAACTCATTAACATTAGTTCACAATAATCTAAAAATTAACTCATAATGTACATAAATACACAATAGTTGTATTTTATCAAAGTGTCTTGAAAATGGAAACTTATTCTTGATCCTCGTCTTCTTATAACAAAACAAAAAAAGACGTTAAAATTTTAAACTAAAACATTTTAATTTACATTAATTAA